AGAGATTCTCAGCGCTTTCATAATGAAACCAATGAGTCCAATGTTTTAAAGAGGAATTCCACTAATATTTCAAAATGTCTGCATAGTGGTGGTGATAGGAACCAGACGTCTGAAGAGTTTAATGCCTTTAAAAACTCAAACTCGACCACTAAAAGGACCATATTTAAAAAAAAATCTCACCAAATCCGTGGGCCAGCAGTGTTTTTATTTCATTTTTACTTAACATTTTGCCACGACCGGAACGGGCCACTGTTTGTTCAAAACATCCCAAAACTGCAACAGCAAAATAGGCACTGAATACTTATTCAAAAATCATTCTAAATGTTTTTCTTAGGTATTCTTTTCTTTTTGTGTAGCCACTGGCCCCTAGATTTTTGTTAGCGGAGGGGGTCAGAATGCACACTATGTTACAGTGCATGCTGGGGAATGTAGTGCATCCTAGGGTGAAACGGGCTAATATTAATAGAAAATTTAAATAAGTTTAGGTCTTGTGTTTGACACATGGGCTCTAAAAGCTCCCTCGCAGAAAGTTATTGCATTAAAAAGGTTATGAATATGCTGCCTAATGTTTGAGACGTTGTTTTACAACTATTTTATGCCAGTGTATTTTTTCAATCATTTAAATTCATGGTGCAGAGATACATGCGAGACATTATGTGGCAAAATAACTAATTTTTTACAGATTTATCACAATTTTACCATCATCAGCATCACATATAAAACTCAGAACACACGTGTAGGTTCGCTGGTGGTTTTGGATAGTAAATAAAATGGCTAAATTTGTGTTGTAGTCATTGCCATCCCTGGTTCCATTCACCACCACTGTAAAGACACTGCAGTACGTTTCTCTACAATGCACTATTTGACACCAAAGTACTCTGAAAGACTTTGTTTACATCACAACCATTAAATTGTACAGACATTAAAAAGGTGGAATTCCCCTTTGAGGTCCGCTTGTGATTGTGCAGTTTCAGACTCTGTCTGAATCATATTAACATGACAATATTTGTATATACAGTATGTGTGGTCTTTTATGAGTACTCAGTTGATCATCAGAATAATTGACAGATTACTAATTTATTTATATGACCAATAGTGACAGTCTTATAAACTAATATAATCATAAATATATTTTATGTTGACTGAAAGCAACTAGGGGAATAAAGTATGACAAAAAGAGCAAATTGAGAGAATCATTTGTGCAAGATTGCATAAAATGTATATTTTAAATTTGTATTATATTTATATTCCAATATTTAGGCTGTTATTGGCTGGCACTGACCTTTTTAAACGTATGTTTGCAAGATATGGTCATTCTTAGGCTTGTTAGGCTTATAATTTTTGTGAGAGTTTTGTGATATTTTTATGAAATTAAGAAATTTTAGAAACCTTCTACAACAATATAAAAAAATTACAAAAAACAAAAAGTTGGTGTATAATCATCCATTAGATTCTACTGTATACTTTACTACAAAACCAAGTGACCTAGCAGAGCACTGTTGTCAGAACAGTACTTTTGGCTTCCTACAATCGTATGCAACCATGGAAGCACCAGTGGCACCAGGTATATTGCAAACAGTAGCTAACGCGTTACGGTGAGCTAATGGTTGATGAACAGTGCTGAAGTAGAGCATCAATCTCTTTTTCAAATGTGTATTAAAAAAATTATGATATTAGAGTTGAGTGTTACACTAAACGTCCAACAAATACTGAATAAATAAAACTAGATAGGAATATAATAAAGCACGGTTTAAAATACTGATCAGACATTTCTGAGAACTACACTATATGGACAAAACTATTGGGACACCTACACATTACACCCACAGGAGCTTTTATGAATCCCATTCTAAACCCATAGGCATTAATATGGAGTTGGTCCCCCTTTGCAGCTATAACAGCTTCCACTCTTCTGGGAAGGTTTCTACAAGATTTTGGAGAGTGTCTGTGGGAAAATTTGTGAAGAGAAATGACAGAAACGGTGTTGTATTGTACAGAAAACAATATACAAGATAACAATCTGGAAAATTATAACTACTTCATGGCTTCTCCGGACTTCCATACATAGTATTGTATTCATACAACTCATATTGTGCTGTATTCAAACAGGACTGTCACTGTATTCATGACTCACTAAAATCAACATCATCCAGCTTTTATACACTGATGTCTTAAAGAAGGTTCTTCACTTTCTTGTTGGATGTGCATTCGGGGAACGCTGCCATGTCTGGTCGAACGAACAAACGGACAAATGGACGGACATACAGATGGACAAACAGCAGACAAACAATTATGCTTTCCTGGGTTATCTTTCGCTTGGTGGTTAGCTTTCACTCTACAATGTGCTCTAATTCGAAGACAGAGATTCTGTGAGTTTTGGTAAAGTTGTGGGGACGGCACTAGACCCAGGCATCTTCACATTATGCAGAAATATTGAAAAATTAGTGGAATTCCCCTTTAAACATCATAAAGCCTGTATGACATGCAATCAATGCAAAAACGTTATCGTATAACATTAAATATCCACAATTGCCACCTTTTGACCACTCTGGCAGGAGATGCAGTGCAGCAATGACTTCAGAAAGGTCAGTGAAGCAGTGAAATGTACACACTGGCTAATGACTAAGGTTAATGTTTAAAACTAATGTATAGTTGGAAAATGACTGAAATAGTGACTGAAATCTAGGTTTGCATGTTCTTTGCAGGTAAAAGCAGTGCCTCGCTTCCATCAAATGAAGGTAAGGAGGCACAATTTGTGTAGTGACACTGCCATCTAGTGACCGAGGAATGCAATTTATTACATAGCAGTGCTCTAAATGTGCTGAATGCCCCCCCACCAACCAACCCCATTCATATTTTATATGCATGAATGAAAGCAATACTAAAAGGGAAAAAAATGAATCAGCATTAGACTTCAGTATTCCACCCTTGATATTTAATGACATCTTTACTGTACTCTAGAACAGTGTACCATTTAGGCAATGCAGGGTTACTGCACTAAAATATCTGCATTTTATTCATTTTACTTCATTTGTAGACCTATGGAAATAAATGTTGTATTTCTCTGTAATGCTACTACCATCTACTAATAAATTCTACATTTTAATAAATGTTTATGTATCAGCATTAGCAGATATGTAGCTGAAAAATATATGATAATCCAAATACCTATAATGGTACATCCTTTGTAAGCACATTATAAAGTAATAGATGACATTACAAAATAAAACAAATAGTTATACTGTATTAGTCAACATCAATTTGGGGAAAAAATGAACCCAGACAAATACAGATAAATAGAATAAAATGACCCTGGTCCTGTAATAGTCCTTAGGCCTGCACATTTTATGCTACCCCTGGTCTAGCAAACCCACTTCAGCCCAGGGGGGGTTCGTTATTTAGCCGATAAGTTTGGTCAGATGCGTGAGAGCAGAGAAAACACTAAAATGTGGCAGTCAGGGGGCGCTCCAGGGTTGCATCGAAAAAAATTGAATGAAAGTTTCTTTACATTCTGCTTGAGTTTGCCTGATCTGTGGTACATGGCCTCATTAAATAAACTGGCAAAGCAGAATAACATGTTGATCCCCATGGTTACCGGATCATATGAAATCCAGGTAAGCAGATAGGGACACAGTCCCGGGAACCTATGGGAGGCGAATCCAGCCAAAAAAGAAATAAAAATTAAAACAATAAAATGTAAATGCAAACCTCTTTTTGCCATTTCTTTTTCCAAACATCTGCGCAAATATCCTGCCAAAACTGAAAATGAAATGAAATGCCTACATTTGCAATTTCATTTTTCACATGAGCACGAGTAATCTGTGACAAAAATAAAAATAAATGTAAAATTGCTTTTTTATCATTTCATTTGAGTCGTTATTCTGGTTTTTCATGGCCAAATCAAAACTAAAAAAAGTTAATAGCGAAAAGAAAAACCAAGCTTCACTTTGTCTTTTCTTCATAAAATGCAGAATACGTGTCAAAACTAAAACCAAAGTGCAATGTTTACGTTCTTATTTCTTTTTCAAAGCAATCGGCTGCATATCTGACAAAATGAAAAGTAAAGCAAAGTGACGGTTTGTGATTCAGTTTTCGGCGTCGATGCGCTTTAAGTGTCAGAGTGACAAGGCAAACGCAAACAAACATCAGCACCACCTGCTGGAGATCATATCATTTCACACTTTGCTTTTTCGTTTTCAAACTGACCAACATGCAAATATACGTTAATTAGCACTAGGTGGGGCTCCGGGGTACAGTCAGAGTGGCTTCATTCCTCAAGCTAAATGACTTCGAGTCTTGAGAAAAACCACCGTCATGACTCAGATCTGGTGAAACTGAACATCAGACCAAACGCTGTCAGACCAAACGGCCTCAGAGAAAAGGTATCGGACCAAACGGCCTCAGAGAAAAACTGAAAAAGTTATACTGGCATTTATATCGAGATACACAATAGTTTTCTAAGTCATACGAACCAGTTTATGCTCGACCAGGCTTGAGTTTGGTCTGATACCTTTTCTCTGAGGCCGTTTGGTCTGACGGCATATGTTCAGTTAAGGTAATTAAGTCACGGCCACAACTTAGTAAGGCTTGGAAACAAAATAAGTTGCAGCCACAGCTTAGTAAGGCGAGGGAATGAGATAATTAAGCCTTGACCACAGCTTAATAAGGCATGATCTTGTTCCTATGCCTCCCATGTCTTGGGAATGAGATAATTAAGTCGTGGCCATGCATTAGGATCTTGTTCCCAAGCGCTAAGACGGTTCGGCCACTCATCATTTTTATTTATACAGGATGTCACCAGCAGGGCTCCATAATAATGCAATATCTTTTGCGGAAAAGAGGAAAAAGAAGATTTTTTTGTTTTGCAAAACACAAAACACAACTGCACACAGCAGCACTAAGACAGAGTGCAGTAGTGCGACATGCATATCAGTAGATCTGCACAAACGCTTGTCAGTGCAGTGAAGAGCAAACAAAACACTCTGCCTACCTTGTTATTATTATGATGTATCTCCGGTGCCTGCCTGCCGGTCTAAGTAATCCACAATCGCCCCAAGAACTGAGTAATCGTTCTTGAGAGCCATGAAAAACAAAAAAATGTGGCATGTTTTCTTTTTTTTCTGAACATTTGAATGGAAGCCAGTCTAAGCCGAGCCAGACTAGTTCCTTTTTCTCCTATAATATAAACAAGACTGAGGGACGCCTGCAGGCGAGTTCTCATTGAATGAGAGAGAATGCTCTTTTAGCTCAGTGGCTAAAAACGAAAACTTGCTTCTAGCTGTTTGTGCAGGAACTTCTTTTAATTTTGAAAAGTGTGAGAGAGCTTTATGTAAACAGTGCTGTGAAAAAGTATTTGCCCCTCCCCAATTTCTTCTATTTTTGCATATTTGTCACACTTGCAAGTTTCAGACCATCAAATTACTCTTAATATTAGACAAAGATACCCAAGTACCCTTTTATTTTTAAGCCTGCTGTTCTTCAGGGATGTCCTCAGATGCTCACAAGCACACAGTGGCCTGTGGTGAGTGAGTCATTAGGTTGCCTCTTACTTCTCTTTTCACTTCTCTTTTTATACTTCTCTTTTTATACACCTCTTTTCTCTTTTTGCTTTGATGGGAAAGTAACAATGCTTTAAAAACAGTAAGTATTGTAGGCCTCTACTGAAGAGCCTCATTATGTTCTGCTATAGTGTGCAAATATTGAGATGAAACAAGTTTTATTAAAATTAAATGTCCTTCTTTACAGAGTGGTTGGGTAAAGTCATTACCATGCGGCCGCTCACTCTTTAAGGTAAGCTTATAAGGATATTCTATCATGTGCAAAAGTTTGGGCGCCCCTGGTCAAGTGACGTTTAGTTGATTTCCTAAGTGACAGTAAGTGAACACATCCTCTACAGAGAACACACTTCTGCATGTTTCACTGCACAATTGCTGTTTATTTGCTGAGTTTAACATATTGGACGAAAGTGGCTTGTGCAAAAGTTATGGCACATTATATTTTGTTTTTTGTTTTCAAAATGTTAAACTCAGCAAATAAACAGAAACTGTCCAATAAAATTTGCAGAAGAATGCCACATTTAGAGAGTGTCAGAATGTGTTAACTAAGCTTCACTTAGAAAATCAATCGTATTACTGTTACAACCCAGTCTAGGGTCAGGCCGTAACAGAGAATGAGTGGGCTCTCTCCCCAGGCCTGCTGCCAGACCAAACACCGGACACCACCGAAACCAGAAAATGGCAGGTTTATTTACTTCAAAAGGTCAAACACAAGTTGGGTCAGTGGCTTCAGGGACAGGCATATGCCAAAATAAACAAAACAAACAGTGATTACAGACCTAAATATCTAAACCTAAAAACAGAACAAAAATACAAAAGGCTACCTGATCTCCCTGCTTTAAAACCAGGAGAAAAACAAAATAGCCCTCGCCCCCTACTTTCCAAATCTTCACAAAGAGTTTTACAGAATCTAACAAAGCTTTCATGAACTTTACAAATGAAGCGAAGCGAAGCAAACAGTGGTGTAAACAGTGCTGGGCTGGTCTGGACAGGTGTTCCTCCAGGCCAGGTCAAACGGAGAGAGCCCTGAACGTCTCGCAAGATGGTGGCTTGGTGACCTCTTATACATCAGTGCCCCCCATGTGGCCAATCATGTACCTGCACATAAAGGGACACACAACAGGGAAAACACACAGAATGACAGCACAATGCACACAAAAGGTATGTTACAACCAGGCATTGTAACATCATATATACTGTGATCTGTAAGAAATGGTTCCCTTTGTCCCTGTCTGATCCCACTTAGACCTCTCTCTATCTTTTCCTTTGTCCCTGTCTGATCCCACCTTGACCTCTCTCTGTCTTTTCCTTTGTCCCTGTCTGATCCCACTTAGACCTCTCTCTATCTTTTCCTTTGTCCCTGTCTGATCCCACCTTGACCTCTCTGTCTTTTCCTTTGTCCCTGTCTGATCCCACCTTGAGCTCTCTCTATCTTTTCCTTTGTCCCTGTCTGATCCCACCTTGACCTGTCTCTATCTTTTCCTTTGCCCCTGTCTGATCCCACCTTGAGCTCTCTCTATCTTTTCCTTTGTCCCTGTCTGATCCCACCTTGACCTCTCTCTATCTTTTCCTTTGTCCCTGTCTGATCCCACTTAGACCTCTCTATCTTTTCCATTGTCCCTGTCTGGTCCCACATTGACCTCTCTGTCTTTTCCTTTGTCCCTGTCTGGTCCCACCTTGACCTCTCTCTATCTTTTCCTTTGCCCCTGTCTGGTCCCACCTTGAGCTCTCTCTATCTTTTCCTTTGTCCCTGTCTGATCCTGCTATGACCTCTCTCTATCTTTTCCTTTGTCCCTGTCTGATCCCACCTTGACCTCTCTCTATCTTTTCCTTTGTCCCTGTCTGATCCCACCTTGACCTCTCTCTATCTTTTCCTTTGTCCCTGTCTGATCCCACCTTGACCTCTCTCTGTCTTTTCCTTTGTCCCTGTCTGATCCCACTTAGACCTCTCTCTATCTTTTCCTTTGTCCCTGTCTGATCCCACCTTGACCTCTCTCTGTCTTTTCCTTTGTCCCTGTCTGATCCCACCTTGACCTCTCTCTATCTTTTCCTTTGTCCCTGTCTGATCCCACCTTGAGCTCTCTCTATCTTTTCCTTTGTCCCTGTCTGATCCCACCTTGACCTCTCTCTGTCTTTTCCTTTGTCCCTGTCTGATCCCACCTTGACCTCTCTCTATCTTTTCCTTTGTCCCTGTCTGATCCCACCTTGAGCTCTCTCTATCTTTTCCTTTGTCCCTGTCTGATCCCACCTTGACCTCTCTCTATCTTTTCCTTTGTCCCTGTCTGATCCCACCTTGACCTCTCTCTATCTTTTCCTTTGTCCCTGTCTGGTCCCACCTTGACCTCTCTCTATCTTTTCCTTTGTCCCTGTCTGATCCCACCTTGGCCTCTCTCTATCTTTTCCTTTGTCCCTGTCTGGTCCCACCTTGACCTCTCTCTATCTTTTCCTTTGTCCCTGTCTGATCCCACCTTGACCTCTCTCTATCTTTTCCTTTGCCCCTGTCTGGTCCCACCTTGACCTCTCTCTATCTGGTTGTTCTCCATCTGAGCTCTGGGAGTGCGCAAAAAGCAAAGACACACACACGCGTGCATCAAAGTTCCGAGACACACTCATTTATTTTGGAACAGAAGGGCCTTTTTATACACTTAGAAGCAGACATGGCCGGCAGTTGATCAGTACAGAGATAAACAAGATTTTTAAGAACAATATGCAGATGAGGTGTGAAAGTAACAGGAAACCATGGCTGAACAAGACGTGGCTGCCCAGAAATGTACATTCTGTCTTGACACACAGACATATGATGATTAACTTAATGAGCTTGGTGTGCTTGTAGAACAGCTTTGTCCAAAAAGATTCTCCTTTTAGGAAAATCCACTGAATTTCCTTTCATGAGTCATGTCATTAGCTGAACTGATCTTGAGTCAAAGGTGTCTGTCATATACTCTTTACTGTTATATAGCTAGAGTACCATACTGAACATCTCTGTAACAGTTACACTACAGTGACTTGTAGAAACCAGCTCATTTGAATAGACGAACCAGCAAGTCATGTTTCTGCCCTTCACAAAATTGTTAATATTTTTATTTACCTTTGTTTACTTAATTATAAATGAACGTTTACACAAAACTAGCCAAAAGCTATATTTAGTAGTTATGCAACGCAGCTAAAAGGAAGTTTCACTAATTGCTCATAACGAATGTTCTGAGATGTTCAAAATGATATGGGAGGGAATGCACATGCTAATGTGCTAACATGCTAGCGTGCCAAAATTTAGAAAGCACAGTTCAGGAGTGACTTTAGCCTCACTTATCAAGCCCACTTGTAATAGGACTGTGGTGGAATTTTTTAAGTTCTGTGAAGAGTTTATAACTCTACTTGTCCTAAGCTTGCGACACTGCTTAGATTGTTTCATAGCAGCAGGAATGTAACCACAAAGATGATGGAGAGACAACCAGTAATGTACATCGATCAGAGAAGCAATAAATCCATAATGCTTTTTATATTGTATTGTGAGAATCATAATTATTGTTGACTGTTATACTGTTATACAATAATAATAATAATAATAATAATAATTATTATTATTATTATTATTATTATTATTATTATTATTATATAAAACAGAACTACAGGTTTTATTTTGTGTTTCAACAAATATAATCTCAGAAAAAACATTATTTTATAATTATATTAATTATATTGCCTAAAGTGAAATAAATCAAAGGGAAATCTAGTTTACTACTGATATTTTGTCATATCCATTCCAGTGGAGAAAGGAATTGAACTGAAACTACAGAGTGCTCCAATGCTCCCTTAGGAGGTTTGTTCAACATTATGACAAAAACTGCATAGGTCAACATGGAATGCCCTCTAATGTGGGGGCATTTTTTTTACCAGTTTGCACTGAACCAAAAGCATTAACATTAATCTTATCTCATAACACAGCTTTGCAGAGGTAGTTGCCCATTTCTCCTTTTAAAAAAATCCCTTTAAAGGAATAGCTTTAATAACCAAATATGCCAACCTGGCAGTGAATAATAGCCACCAGTCAACATGATGCAAAATAACTGGTGTTTATCTGCTTTCAGTTATTGTAAGTAACATTACAAACAAAAACATTTCAACTAAACTAATCTTTAAAAACTTGTGTTCACAGTGAAAATGCAGGCCTCAAAACACTTTAAATAATAATTTTACCTTAAGGACATTAATAAGTGATAAAATAAGGGATCAGTTAAAAGCTAGAACTTTGGTGAAAGTCATTTTGTAATCATTAAAGCTCAGCAGCTACGGATACAAATAATAGCATAATATTTTGTTCAGCCAAATAACGGTAAAGAGCAAAATACTATTGAACTACAAGTCCCATGGATACTGACGCCGACTTTTCGTGGAATGTGTGATAGAGACGTCATCAGCGCGGCAGGCTTTGTAGTCCATTTTTGGAAACGCTTAAAACAGAGTATGTCTGTCTTTGACTGTGCATGAATCGTTTGTAACATGTACAAAGTGTTAAATAAAACGGAATATTAAAGTTTGGTGGCCGGTGAATCACATTTAATTCATTATTGACACCTTATATTTGCCTATTAACAGCCGGGGGCAGTCTAACCTCTTCTCCCTTCATATTACGTTTACCAGAGCAACGCGCGTCGCCAGGCAACCGCTCTGCTTGCACTTGCCATCTGCAGGCAGCGCCATGGAGGAAAAGCCGGACATCGGAGCTTTGAGTCCTGAACAAGAAGAAAAACTGCGCCAGTTCAAGGTACTCGAGCTGTTTTAGTCTGTGGTGAATATATTCTACACACGACTCGAGCTGAAAACTCCGAAAATCGTTTTTTTTACCTGAGAATCTCTGAGGAAACCAGGAGAAAAGCGAGTGTTTACCGTTATAATTGTAAATCATCTCTGTCTCATACTGTAAACTATAATTCTGTTGTTTGGCTGTCAGAATCAGAGCTCCACAAGTAACTCTGCTGTAACTACTGCTGTGTTTGCCAGCTAACGTGTAGTGAAAGGAAGTATAAGTTTAATCCACAAAGCTGAAGTTGGCTTCTTATTCGAATTTTCCGTTCCACCTTAAATAGTGCCGCAGCTAGATACATTCTGAATGAAATGAACGTTACTGCTGCACTATTTAAGGTGGAACGGAAAGTTCGAATAAGAAGCCAACTTCTGTCTTGTGTTGAAGCAGAATATTAAGCTCACTGTCTGCAGAGTAACCCTTCTGTGTACCAGTTCATAATGATGCTAGATTTAAGGCCAGAGATCCCAACGAATCAGTCTTTTGAACGACTCCTTGAAGTGAATCAGAGTCAAACCCATGACTTTTGTCTTGCTAAAGGGGAAGTCCACCAATGTTTCAAAATTTCTGCATAATCAAATGGTTAAGATGTAAACAAAGTCGTTCAGAATGGTTTGGTGTGAAATGCTCCATTCTAGGGAAAGTTGTCAAGTCCGAATTGTTCACGATAGTAGTGTTAGGAACCAGACGTCTGAAGAGTTTATTGCCTCTAAAAGCTCCTTCACAGGAAGTTATTACATGAAATGGTTAAAAGTACACTGCCTGATGTCTGAGACGGTGATGTAAAAGTTCTGACAAAAACTATTTTTCAAAATCCATCCATAGCAGAGTGATACACGCAAGCAAAATAGGCAAAATAAGGCAAAATAAGGCAAAATAACCCCCCACCTACACCCAGAAAAAAAAACCAAAATTTATTTTGTCTGATTGGCCATTATTTCACCATCAACATCATATAAAACATATAAAAGATATGTGTGGGCTCACTGGTGGTTTTGTATAGTAAATAAGATGGATATATTTGCTACACAGACATTGTGACCCCTGGTTCCCATCACCACCACTGTAAAGAAATCTGAGTCTGTAAGCTTCTCTACAGTGAACCATTTCACATCAAACCACTCTCAATGACTTTGTTTACATCCCAGCAACTGAATTATGCAGAAATTTAGAAAAATTGGTGGAATTCCACTTTAAAGCAATGGTTCCGAAAAATCACATTTTCACACATAACCTAAATTTAGCAGATCAGCCCAGACATTTTTGGTATCTTAAGTTTTAAGCCTCTTTAGTTTTGCAGTGAAGCTATGAGGCTAATGTAGCTAACAAGTAATGTAAGTCTATGTAACCCAAAATATTTTTCAACAGACTTATGTTATAGTAGCCTCAGAGCTCCAGTGCAAAACTAAAGAATGCCAGATGTGTCTTGGCTGATTGACTATATTTGAGGTAAGAGGAAAATTATTTCATGGTGCACTATTTACTTAAAATAATTATTTAATTAACTATTTAATTAAAAAATAATGAAAATATAGTAATTTTATCACCGAAAACAAACTGCATTCAAAATAACAAGACTAAGCAGAATGGAAAAGTATTTTATTTATCGTTTTGCTGACTTGCAGAGCTAAATGTTGCAGTTTTTACTGCATATAAACGTGTTATATTTAGTAGTTAAACTAGTGGTCTTGAATAGAGTGCTATTTACTATTGTCACACAAATGCAACTTCCTTCTTAGGCACAAAAATAAATATAGACAAAGGGAGTGTATGAAAATGTGAGTGTGGGTAGGGTCATATTGAACCTGTATTTTACTAATCTAACCACATGATCCATCACTAAAATTGCAGTGAGCCAAATGTTTTGAATTGCGAATGACTTTCCTTTGACGCTTCCCCCATAGATCAAGACAAGAATGGCGAACGAAATGTATCTGAGAGCTCATCCAGAGGTGGAAATGCTGATGAGCGATTTTCTAAGGTGATTATTGACATGGCTTTGGAGAAAATATTATTAGATATAATGACAAAAGTGCACCGAGTAAAGCTTTTCATCAAAACTATATGGGCTGACAAAGCTAAAACGAACATTAAAGCTGCACTAGGTAAGATTTTTGTTATTAAAATTGAAAAAGTAGCATTACTAAGTCAGGGGCAGACCTGAAAGACTAATAATTTTTCAAATCTACATTCCAATTTAAAATAGGGCAGTTTCAAAATTGCATCTACAATTTTATTGTAGTCGAGATTATCAAGTGTTGTCTCAACAAGTTTTAGGCCTAAGTGGGGAAATTTAATCCGATAACACTGAGCTTATGAACTGCCTGTAGATGAGTGACACCATTCAGAAGCAAGACAATTTATCAAAAACAATCCCAATTCAAATCACAGTCAATACTGGTCAGATAAATCGCAATAAGAATTGATTCTTCCTCTTGGAGAAGGGGTCAGAGCACAACCCACGTTACGAAATGTTCTTCTGCATGTTGCATGCAATTGCACACTTCCACCAGAGAGGTCTCCAAATCCCCAAATCTTACTTAGTGTAGCGTTAATAATTACTGTGCAGAACTCTGTCAACAAAGCACCAATAGTCCAGCTGTAGCTTTTTTTTGTGGTCATTCATGACTGAATTTGATATTGTTATTGTCTTAATAACCTTGGTTAAATGATTATTCACTTTGTTGATGTAGTTGCTGTTCTATCAAAACCTTCTTATGACTTTTTTGTTTTTTTATATGTTTAATGTTGAAAACGCCAGCTGCTCTTTACATTATGTGAACATTTCATGATGAATAGACCAGTAGAAATGGTTTGAAATCATGTAAAATCTCGCTACATTAACAGACATTAAAGTTAAGAGTATTTTTTTCCTTAGCCACTATATAGGCTCATTGATCCAGACAGACCTTATTGATCACTTCATTGATCGGTGAATAACCTCATGGTTGCAGTATGTAACAGTTAGGCTTTCTTTGAGAAAGTTGCAGAAGCAGAAATTGCTCAGCTGTTGTGCAGCCAGTGGAATGTGAACATCCACTCTAAATTAGAGTGCAAATTTTCCATCAGCTGCGTAAAGTTGATGTGCTTCAGTGAATGCAGGGTGATTTAAAAAGATTCATCCGATTTCAAAATGATTTATTTCTCTTGTAAATCATCACAGAACAATGCAGTAAACTGTAAATGGTTTAAATGAGCATAAAGTTTATTATGTAATTTTACAAGGTCTCAGTATGAACCTCCTCCAGCTGTGGGACAACATCAACGCCATAGTCAAATTCATCCCATATTCGATTGAGCGTGTTGGTGTCACAGCACTCACGGCTCTTTCAGTGTGATTTCGGAGATCATCCAGTGTTGTGGAACCAAGGACGAACGTTCTGAGCTGTTGAAGCTTCACTGCTGACGAAAATATCGGGGTCTCCATCTTCTCGCAGACTGAAGGGAGACAGTCAGAAACTCTATGACCCCCTCTTTCAATTGGTATGTGATTGGTTCCTAGACGCCTCACGGTTGTAAAAATATGGCGCTTTGAAATCGGATTAATCTTTTTGATTTTTAGATCAGAAAAATAGTTTTGTTCTCTCTGACGGATACGTGAGGTCTAAGAATCAGTCTATTTTTAATCTCTCTTTCTCTCCCTCAGAGATGTGTTTCTTAAAAGACCTACAGATATCCGTGAATTTGCTGCAGGTGAGTGATTTGCTTTTAATGCCTCAAAGAAACTGCTGAAGTCCAGTGATGTTTACATAGCAGCCACTTGAAATTGATCGGACTCTTTGTTGAATGTTTGAGTGAATTTGTGCACCGATCAGATGAAGAATATTACTTCAGTCAGAAAGTAAACGTACCTCATACTGGAGCAGGAAAGACCACCCGTAGTCTCTGATTACACAGCCATGCTGTAGCAATACATACACAATGTTGCTTGGTGTCATGCAGGCCAGGGTCATGAACTTATAGGCCCCTGCACACAAATTGATCATGGGGGCCCCCTAGTGGTTAGGGCCCTTGGGCAGACGCAGGCCCCCAGCTTTTGTCTTCGCAAACGTGCCCCCGGGAATTGAGATGCTTGGGCACGAAAGGACCATTTGAGAGAAGCTCTGCTTTCATTTCCATTCAGTTTGGGCTGATTTCAGTCGAAAGATGAAGGCACAGCTGAGTCGTTTTAGGCCACCTCATGGTCCTGTCCTCTTCTACAGAGACTGGACAGTCTGTCGTTGGGTTCACAGGGTCAACCATCAATATGTGATAAGGCTGGGTCTCAAAGGACTGCGCGCTAATGTTTGAAGTCGAAGCTCCTCAGTAATACAAAGCACAGAGTTCGGTGCAAAATAATAATAGTAATAATATTAATAATAGTAATAATAAGTATTATTATTCATTTTTTATTTGTTTGTTTATATTATAATGATTAGTATTATAATACATTTTTAGTTGAGGCTGGTTATGCTGTGTTGTCTTTCTCTTCTCTAACAGTATATTTAACACAAACAACTAATGATGGAGGAAGTAGTAATTATAAATCACTGTGTGGTGAAAACTGTAGTGCTGAATGGTCGTGATAATTTTATGGTCCCTTTTAACTTGTTCACAAAAATTTGCTGAGCAGCAAACAGTTATTTGCACCACACGCTTTAGATTTGCCATTAAGGTGCCTGCACAGTCTCTGTGTTCCTGCTATCCACTGCACAAGAAGCCAATTAGGAAGCGACACAGTTGACCTCACCTGTTCCCAACTGAAAACAGCAGGATGACTGGGTGCAGTTTATATATACTGTCAATAGGCAAACATGCATACAACCTATTGGATGCTCAAGGCTCGGAAATAAGCATTGACGTCCCTGAAAAAGACGTTGTCTAGAAGGCAGCATATCGCTGCTGTTGGAACAAAACCTTGTATCTCCATTTTTGTCACTTTTCAGTTTTTGACATAATTTGAAATACCTGTTGACCTTTACATTGTGCGATTTCATGATGAATGGACCAAAAGAAACGGAACCAAAATTATTTGGAAAAATGTCTTGTTCTATTGACTTACATTAAATGTAAACTATGTTTTTCCTTTCTCCTGTAAAGTTAAGGTTTTGGAGATTTGAGGTTTTGTTCCGTCAGCAGCGATATGTTGAACATTGCTAGGTTTTTGTGTTATGTTATATGTTGTGTTATGTTATATGCTGATGAGGACTTGTTGTCTTCATCAGTGTATGATGTACTGACAGAAAAATATATATTTCCACTCTTTCTGGATCTAGTTAGCATCAGCTAGAGTAGTGATTTCAGTATTTAAATACAGGCACCTAGATTGGTTATCTGAGTACTTGAGTAGCTGTGCTCATCCCTGATACTAACACTTTGCAAATTTTAATCACAAAAGCTATTTTCTTGATCTTTTTCTTACACAACCTGTTTTTAGATTAGGCCATAATCACTGATAGTCCTGTTTCAGTAACAGTAATATGGTCATTAACCTCATGGGTGAAATTCAATATGTTTTTGTGTTCTTTCTTTCAGATTACTTCAGTGACCCAGACCTGCCAGCAAAAATTGGGGTCCAAGTGGAGGAGAACGCTGGGGTGAAAATCTGAGGACTTCTTTAAGACTCTTTAAACAGCAGATTATGTGCTCTGTTGCCATTTGTCTGTAACTAGCTGAACAGCATTCGTCTAATTAGCAATACCAACATTATGTAATTGGCTTCATTAAGAGTGGAGTCAGCAGGGGACACGACGCCGCTTAACTTGTTTGTTCATTGATTCTATGGGGATGAAGGATGAACTGCACTGAACGGAACAAAATGTCTCATTAAGAGTACAGTGTTATTATTAGTCATGTCTGGTTGCTTGACCTCTTCATGCAGGCGAGTTCATCCAATTTTTCCACATTTCTGCATAATTAAATGGTTAATTTGTAAACAAATTTAGGTGGTTTCATGCAAAATGCTCCATTCTAGAGAAACTTAATGAGGTACAGAATTGTTCGTAGTGTTGGTGATGGGAACCAGACGTCTGCAGAGTTTAATGCCTCTAAAAGCTCCCTCACAGAAAGTTAGTACATGAAATGATTATGAATGATGTCTGAGACACTGTTTTACAACAGTCTTTAGAAGGTTTTTGACCCCTGGTTTCCTTCACCACCACTGTAAAGAAATCTGAGTCGGTAAGTTTCTCTACAATTAACCATTTCACACCAAACCACTCTGAATGACTTTGTTTGCATCTCAACCACTAAATTATGTAGAAATTTTGAAAGAATTTGAGCAGAACAGAGCAAAGGGCATATATGTTGTAAACATATTGTTTAAAAATGTTGCTATTAGATTCATAAAGGCAGAAATGCATTGACGTTTTGTACAAATACGTCAGTGAAAAGATAAATTGTACCTGTTGATTTCTCCCATCGGCTGTAATGTATTTTTGCTCTGATTAAATATTAAATTTTGATTGACAACAATGTTCATTTGTCATCTCTCAAACAAATTTACATGGCATAAAGTTGTAATAAACTTTATGTGATTATTAAGAGGTCCGGCAGATTGTAAACAATCATTAAAGGGGAACTCCCCCGATAAAAGTTTCACATAATTAAATGGTTAAGAAGTAAACAAAGCCATTCAGAGTGGTTTGGTGTGAAAAGCTCCATTCTAGAGAAACAAACTTACTTGAACTGTTCACAGTGGTGGTGATAGGAACCAGACGTCTGAAGAGTTTAATGCCTCTAAAAGCTCCTTCATAGAAAAAGTTATTACACAGAATATTGCGCAGATATACGCTGATTATAAGGCAAAAGAGGATTTTTTCAAATTTTCCACTATTTTATAATCATCAACATTGCATATAAAACCTCAGACAACGCATTTAGGTCCACATCTCGTTTTGGATGGTAAATAAAATGGCTGTATTTGTGTTGTAGACATTGTGATCCCTGGTTCCATTCACCACCACTATAAAGAAATCTGAGTCTGACAGTTTCTCTACAATATCAAACCTCCCTGAATGACATTGTTTACATGGCAACGATGGAATTTGATGCAATGATGCAAAAATTTAGAAAAATCTGCGGAATTTTCCTTCAATGAGTCTTTACTCTTATGAAATTCTAGACAATGGAGGCACCAACATGAAATCACCAGCATGTATCTTAGATAAAATACTATAAAACATTAACATTATAAAACTGTAGTTATTCACATTTCTTTGCCAGCATCTACACCATTATGTGGTTTGCATGAAGCAGCTATGGGATAAATTTTGAATATGTTTTTCTTTCAAGGGTAATTTTAACAGCTCTGGCATGGAACACAGATGTTACTCTAAATATTCTATTAGATTTACATCGGTAACTGTTGAGAATACAATACTTGTCTGCTTAAACTGGATATAAGCCTTGCCTAATCTTAATAAGCTCATTTATTCAATAAAAAATACATATACAAATTATATACATCCTGGTTGCTTGTAATCAGACAGGCCTTATTTCTGTATTCCTTTTCATCTACATTTTCAGACTCCTTGGCATAAAATCAGACAGGCTATAAAACAGTAGTATCATATTTGTGTTATTGAAGGTCCTTTGTTAACACAGTCTCACTGTAGGTTCTAGTTTTTGGATGTAAATATACAGGCCTAACAGTATGATGCCACCTCAAAAACAAAAGAATCACACTGACGTCTCAAAAATGTCTGTTAAATCGTTCAAAGCCATTCAGAGTCGTTTGATGTGAAATGCTGTGTTCTAGATAGTTTAATATGTGTACAAGCTAACCCACACAAAGTTTTCACATGAAATGGTTATGAACAATGCCTTGTTTGGGGGCTAAAATGGATGTATTGTTTTTAAATCCATTCATGTAGAGGGGTACATGCAGGGGGGTTGTGAGGCAAAATAGCCCCAAAAGCAAACTTACTTTTTTAGATTTATTACTATTTCATAAGGATGCACCAATGAATTAAATGGCTGATTCCAGTTTCTTCCAATGGCCAAATTTTTGGTCAGATTTTTTTAGCATGTTTTTTTTTTTTTGTTTCATATGTAAAGGAACATATTAAACACACTAGCTCATTTCTGGCACTTTCTATTAGCCAAAATTGCTATACAAACAACACTATTCTTTAATGAGCCCTCTATAAAAAAAAGCCATTTAAATCAGTTGCCTTTTTAAATAACATCAAAAATAAAGTGCCTCCTAAACAAACATTTTTTATATATATATATATATATATATATATATATATATATATATATATATATATATATATACACCTTTATCTCTTAAAACAAATAAAAACAATAAATTGGCTACATTTGTGGTTTAGACTTGTGACCCCTGTTTCCCATCACCACCACTGTAAACAAATCTGAGTCTGTATGTTTCTCTACACTCTTTAAAAAGGTGGTTCTTCAAGGGTTCTTTAGCAAAGAAAATTATTCTATATAGAACCATCAACACTCAAAGGTTAAATGGTTAAAGCGTTCTTTAAAGTGTTCTTTAAAGTGTTCTAAATAGCACCCAAAAGTTTTCATTGGTTGTTACAAGCTTGATGTCGTAACTATAGAAAAACCCTTTTTGGTGCTGTATAGAACCATTTTCGAAAACTTCTATATAGAACCATCTACAGCACGTTCTCCATCAATCTGAAGAACTCCTTCTCAATGCAAAGAACCCTTTAACCATGCAAAATGTTTTTTGGAGTGTTCCTGGTTCCATATAGAGCCATTTTCTTTCCTAAAGAAATGGAACCATCTTTTTAGGAATGTACAATGAGCTGCTTCACAAGTGTTCCAAATCACATTGTTTGCAATGACATTGCAACTGGCTCATTAGGTCAGTTGGACGGTTAATTTACTCTTCTCGGCTCACTGAAGGGTGAATTATTACAGGTTATGTTTTAAATCGGACATAACAAGTCACAGAGGGACTCGGGTCATTCACTCGAACAGAGGCAATGCTAAATGTCATTGTGAAGTGTAGCAAAAGAGCTCAAATTGATACTTAGAATGCCTAATTTTATTGATTTCTTTATTTATTTTGAGTGCAGTGCATTAAGTTATTGACCACATCACCACAATGCTTACAGTAATGGTTATTTCAGTCACAATTCTGTGGTTCCTTGTAAGTTCTTTGTTGAAAATAATGAAAATATCACCCATAGAAGTTACACATATATGTAGAGGCCCGCTCACATGCCTAATGCACCTGAGCAGGTATCCTCCCACTCAATACTGGGAGGGGAAGAGAGGAGACGAGAGGACACATACTTATTCCTCTCAGTCTATACTGGAAACGTGTGTCTACAACATCATACCCTCTGACTCCTCTGAGGAAAACCAACATATTCAGTAAGTAATATTTTTATTATTTAATATGTTGTGTTATAAAATGCATTGAATTTACTTGCAAATGTGTATCATTCTTTATAAAAATATATTAACACTTACAAAATGATGTCAAAAGGAATTCAAGCGAAAGACAACACTGTTTTGATGTAATACTATATTAATGTGTTCAGTATTCAATATTCATCATTATTATTATGTAAAAATGATGTGCACATTAGACTACATCACTTTTTGTAGTGCACTATTTGTTTTCCGTACTCTCAGCAAAAATAGGGGCTACATAGTACCAAAGAAGGGTTCTTTGTCTTGGAAAGATAACGGAACCCTTTTTGATGCTAGATAGACCCTTTTTTTATTTGAATAAACATTTCTCAAGACAAATCTTCTTATAGTGGAGTAATATTTTTTCCTTTTTAATATTCTGAAATTCTATTTAATATTCTGATTTCTTGCACTATTTTAAGTACATTAAGTAGATAATCTGCCAGTTTCCAATACAGTCAGTCTAGCATGAAAACTGATTCAATTTCAGAATAAATGATGGTTAAATAAATGAAAATAGTATCAATCTAATGGGAAGATTGTGTTTCATATTTTATACAGCATAACTGTTTTATATGAGTGCTGGATATAACTATTTCTTATATTTTACATGAATATCTCCATTCATTTAGCAACTCTTGTAACATGTGTACTGGGAGTATTAGCAAATATGCTAATTTCAGACAATCAGAAATGTGTTAGCATGTTGTGTCTGGAGTGAAATTAGGTGATTCATTTCATATTCGTGTGGAAACGTTCCTTTGACAGTAAAAGCTTATTAACTAACGTAGTGAGTGAACAGTTCGATCAGGCCTCTGAAAGGTTTTGGTTAGCAAGTGTAGGCTAATTAAAAGTATGGCAATATACAGAAATAATGTGCTCAAGGGCAAATTTAAACTTTCCCTGTCAAACTAAACAGTGAAAAGTGAAACTCAGTAGGCAGTTAAGTGCTCCAGTTTTGTTTGAATTTCCCAATTTCTGTGTAAAGGCTGTTTTGTTTTGTAGCGCAGGTTATGCTAACTAGCTGGCTTGTCAGAATGTGTTGATTTGTACTGCTGTGGTAAAATCTAGTTCGTTGCTATCATGACAGCATTTTTTGTGCTAAAGCTCATCTGTAAAGACAATATTACTGCTCAGCACAAGGCTTTTGGCTTATTATTTTTAGCCTTTTAACTTTAAGGGATCGGATTTCAAGGCTGTGTTATTCTCCACATGAATTCCAGTGGGATTCTGTTCACAGCTTGGTTTCCACAGCAGCCCCCCCAAATTCTCAGAGGTGGTAGGCTGGTTGGAGCAGGATTAATAGGTTGCGTCTGAGACTTGGTGGACATGACTACAGAAACCAGAGCAACAATGGAACATAAACTTTAAGTTCACATATTGTGAAGGGAGGCCTCAGGACAGGGGGAGGTGGTCAAATATTGAAATGTTTTGCTCTGGACTAAAGTTTAATGATATACTGCAATACACAACCCAAATGATAATCATACCATTTTATGTATTCCAATAACTGTACAATTACCATCTGGTTATAAAGCCACAATGGAAATTAACAGCTCAACTGCTACAGTCAAAGCACCTGGACAACACAGGCCAGACCACCAGTGCTGGGCATAATTTCATATTTATTTAAATTTTAGTTTTTGGTGTTATATATTTTGGTGTTTATTTAGAGTTCTGTGCAAAAGTCAGAGACCACTCTTCCATTACTTACCTTTTGTCCATTCCAAATAGCCATTAAATACAAGCTCATTTTTCAGGGCCAGGAAAAGAAGCCAAGTTTTAAGGGAAATTCCAACGACTTTTAAAAAATTCTGCCTAAGTTAGTCTTTATGACATAAACAAAGTCATTCAGAGTGATTTGATGTGAAGTTTTCCATTCTATAGTCAGAACTGTTCACAGTGGAAGTGATGGGAACCAGACGTCCAAAGTGTTCATGCCTCTTAAAGCTCCCTCATAGAAAGTTTTTTTTTTACATAAAGCTGTCACAAATTTGCTGTCCTAATGCCTGAGACATTGTTTTTCTGGATGTTTTGAGGCAACATTATGGCCTAAAATGTAGTTTTCCAAAATCTATTAACGGCAGAGAATGACATTGCAGGGCACTGTGAGGCAAAATAGTTCCCAAAGGAAACATAATTTGTCAGATTTACC